CTGCGGGCCCACCCCGCCAGCGCCCCAGCTGCTCTGCACCCAGCTTCCCCGATTCAGCCACTGGTCAATTTTAGCAGCGGCTGAATGGGGAAGTTGGGGGCAGAGCAGCTCCAATGGTCCGGCTGCCCGGAGCACTTCTGGGTTCCTGATGGTGCCAGACCATCAGATGCCAGACCATTGGAGTTTTACTGTATGTGGTCAATGCCCTATTTACAGATCTTAAAATCTTCTTTAAATATGCCTTTTCAAGCCTTAGATTCTCTTGAATTATTATATTCCAGTTATTCATAGTTGTTTCAAAGCTCAGGAAAATGTTATGTAACCATGTTTTTCCATTATTCAGGTAGTAAAACTTCTAATTCTACTTTACAGTGATCCAGATTGTACAAATATATTTGAGCTTACTAATATAACAGAAGATGAGCAGGACTCTCCTGATGCTGATGACCTGGTAATAAACTCCTGTTTTTATTTAAAAAAATAAAAATTCAGAGTAGGAGCTACTAGCAGTGATTAATACTGTCAGTCTAGATACTAGTAGCAACAAAGCTATTCTAAAAGTTTTTTAAAACCTATACTTTCATAATATGCCACAATTACAAATGTCTGGTTATAGAAATATTCCTGCTACCTAGCCATAAATTTTATACATACTTCCTATTTATATAATGGTCCGGTCCATTATTTGAACTTCCCTAAAGTTTGAGAATGTTTGGATCTGGTGTTGGTAGGTTTACTATATTTAGTATAATTATATATTCATAACCATATTTCAATAATGGTTATATTGTAGATGTTCATATGTAAACAACACTGGACATGGTATGTACATTCTGCATATAAATCACAGTTGTCAAGTGAAGTATAATTCTCCCCCAACCCCCAAATGTTTGTGGCTCAGTTACCTCATACCTAGTACATTATATAAAATGTGCAGTATTTACATATAACTAAATCTGCAGGTCTTTTTATTTAATTATATCCAACTTTGGCTATCTTTTAGAAAAAAGAGGTAAAAATGATTGTATACTTTAAAAAAAAAAAAAAAAAAGATAATGCCAAGAGTTCAGAACACAATTATAAATGTAGTGAGGTATTAATATTTGATATAATTACATTCCTACTTCTCTCTGAATTGCTTTATTTAGAAAAAAAGAAGTGATTATTAATTATTGCATTTAATTCTGTATCATGAAACTAACAAACATCACTTCAGTATTTGAAAATACATGTTTAATGCATTTATATTGAGTTGTTGACAGCAATGCATATAGTAAATGTGTATATTTGGAGTGATGCCTTTTGATATATTGGTAATATATTAAAAATTAAAAATTAGCATACTACTTTTTACAAAAAAGACATTTCAAGTATTTTATATTCTTAAGCAAAACTTTTTAAAAATGCTGCAAGACCCTTGTTCTAAGTCCCGGGAAACTCTGAAATTCAGTCCATAAGTGATTCTTAGTACCCAAACCATAAAACACTGTTTCTCCAAAGTCTCAGGGAGGTAGCTGTGTTAGTCTGTAACTTTAAAACCGAGTAGTCCTGTGGCACCTTCATCTGATGAAGGGGGTTTTACCTATGAAAGCTCATGATACTATATATTTTTGTTCGTTTCTTAAGCTGCAACAGGGCTACTTGTTGTTTCTCCAGAATTATTTAAGTGGGATTTTCATGCCTGGTTATCTTTGGCAAAACCTGAAAAGCTGTAGGATTTTTCATTTTCTACACTGAATCCCTCATGCCTTTTACATACATAAAATTGGTGGTATTGAGGCTTGATTTGTCATCCTTTCATATAAAAATAATCAGCTAAGAAATAACATCAAGCATCCCTCTAATGCATCAATGAAATTCCCAACTCTGGGTGCATTTGCATAAAGACCTCCAAGTGTCTCCCATTCAGTGAAATTCAGGACATTATGCTGGAACCATGAATGCTAAGTATTGATTTGTGTTTAGGGTCCTAAATAAGTCACTCCTGATCAGATCTCTGAAAGCAGGGCTGGGGAACCTAGGCCCCAGGGTCCAGATGCAGGCCCTAGATTGCTTGGATCTAGCTCCCAGGGCTTGCTTTGGAGAGTCCACGCTGGCACTCCAGTCCCCCTGCTGCCTCCCTGCAGTCCCCAACTGATTTTTCTGTGGGTCAGCAGCCTCCAACCCAAAAAAGGTTCCCCAGCACTGTCCTGAAGTCTGCATTATCTCATTTCCCTCATTGGCTTGTTAAAAACTGTTGGATTTCTTAGCTTAACTGGACAGTTTTCTATAATGTTCACCACAACAGGCAGTATGGTTACTATTTTCATTGCAATATAAATATAATTGTCTGAATAGTTAATACTTTGCTATAAACTATTTTTGAAGTGTTTTGTGGCTTCTCTTGTAGGATAATAAATGTCTTCCAAGAACTTCTTACAGAAGAGTAAAAGTGAGTTGACCTGCCCTTCCCATAAATACTAAAATCATACCTGTCTGAAAAAGTAGTCAGTAGAAACAGTAGTGAAGTAGCAGAATCTAGTGGTGTGTGCTGCCTTTTGTAATTAATGTCTTTCCTAACTTTCCTGGTGATAACTGCAAATAATCAGACAATTTTTAAACATTTCTTCGGATTTTTTTACTTAATCCTGTAATGAAGTCATAATGCAGAACATGAAGTGGACAAAACTGATATAAAAACAAAGTTCAATAACTAAACAACTGCAAATACCATACCTAATTTAAGACAGGAAGGAAGTGATCCAGGAAACTACAGATTCCTTCATTTGACCCTGATTATATCGCAAGGTCTTAAAATAAATTTTGAAGGAGAAAGTAATCAAAGGCACAGTAGTAAATAATTGGGTTAAAATGCAACATGGTATTACAAAAGATAACTCATGCCAGACCAACTTGATCTTTTTTTTGTAACAATAACTAGTTTTGTAGACAATGAAAATGCCAATCTAATATATACGGATTTCAGTAAAGCGGTTAATATTACTTCCCAGTGGAACTGTCTTCAGTTTAAATGGTAGGGAGTAATACAAGAATCAGATGGTGAATAAGACACTGGTTCAAGGGAATGCTATAACTAGTCATGCTGAAAGATGAACAGGCATGCTACAGGGGGAGGTTACTAGTAGAATTTCTCATAGATCAGTTTTGACCAGTCTTCTGTAACATTTTCATTAATGATGTTGTCATGAAATGTGGAAGTGTACTGATAAAATTTATTGATGACACAAAGTTGGGAGGTATTGCCAATATAGAAAAGAGCTAGAATATTGTTCAAGAAGGTTTGGATGATTTTGTATTTTTCCAATTTTCAGGTTTCAAAACCTCTGAAATCTGGGACTTTCTGGTCCGGCCACATCCATGGTCTGGCAGGAGCATGGATGTTGCTGGATCAAACTGCCCCAGCACCTGGGAATGCACTACCCCAGCTCTGGCTGGGAACCCTGTTGGGTGGGACAGCAGAGAAACTGGCAAGCCCCATCCCGGGGAACCCCCTACCTGGGTAGGGCAGTAGCAGGGCAGCCCAGTGGCAAAAGCAGGGCAGCCAGCAAGCCCCTTCTTCTTCGAGTGGTTCCTCATGTCCATTTGAAGTAGGTGTGCGCGCCGCGTACACCACGTTTTCCGGAGCATTTTCCCTAGCGGTACCCATAGCGCTGGCAGGGCACCCCCTGGAGTGGTGCCGCCATGGCGGGGCATAAGTACCCCTGCAGGCGCTGCCCCACCTCAGTTCCTTCTTACCACCGGGTCGGTCATTGGAGCGTGTCTCTCTCTCTCTCTATCTGTTTAGGCTTAGATAGTTAATGGTTCCCGTTTCTCACATTGTATATAGTTTGTGTAGTTAGTTAGGTTTTTTGTTTTTGCTCCTTCCCCCCCTTGGGGGTAAGGAATGCCAGGGCTTCAAGGCGTGCACTGACTGCGGGAAGTTTATGCCCAGGGGCGATTCACACGACAGCTGCCTTAAGTGTCTGGGTGAGGCTCATCTGGCAATTGCCTGCAAAATCTGCAAGTCTTTCAAGCCCCGTACAAGGAAAGAAAGAGTTTCCCGCTTGAAGCTTCTCCTTATGGAGACAGCGCTTCAACCGGTACCGCCGGACCAGCCTGCGGTGCACAGCGCACCGGCCTCTACGCGCAAGGCCGCACACCAGCACTGGGCATCGATGTCGAGATCCCGGCACCAGTCTCAATCTCCTCCATCTAAGAGGGTGAAGAAGTCCCGGGGCAGGTCTCCGTCTAAAAAGCCAACGTCGGCTGGACACCGCACTGGCAGTTCACCGGTGCGTGTTTCCCCTCCGGTGCACCGTTGGCCTGGTGAGCCCTGGTCGCCTGCCCTCTCATCGTCCGTCTACGCCGGACACCTTTGAAGTGGCGCAGGACCTAATCAGTCTTACAACCTCCCCGCCATCGTCGGTTGACTCGGACGGGTCGAGGTCACCCCCTTTGGAGGTTTGGAGGGCACCGCTGTCGCCCATGCATGGCCCGGGTCGGCATGCTATGGTGGCTTATGCGTCGGGACCAACCCTGGTGGGGTCGGCTCCCGCTACTACTACGGCACCCTTCACGACGCTGAGCCGTCATTCTCAGGGAGCTTCGAGCCATGGCAGGTCGTTGCTCTCCACGTTGCCAGAGCCCCGCTTGGCCGTACCGGTGCCATACCCCCATGGCCACGTGGCCTCCCAGCAGTCGGCATCCATCTCCGTGCCGTCATCGGTACCGGCATCGACCCAGTGGTCTACCCCAGCACCAGGCCTGGGCACCCCGGTACCATTTCAGTCGGGCACGACTCTGTCTGCATCAAGCCTGAGCATCTCGGTGCCGCAGCTGCTGGCCACACTATCGGCACCGGGCCTGAGCACCCCGGTACCGCAGCTCCAGTCGACGCAATCGGCACTGGGCATGGGCACCCTGGTACCGCAGCTTCTCACGTCGCACTCGGCACTGGGCCCAGGCACCCCGGTGCCGCAACTCCAGGCATCTCAACCGACACCGAGCCCGAGCACCTCGGTGCCGCAGTTACTGGCGACGCAGCTGGCACCGGGCCTAGGCACCCCGGTGCCACAAACGTTGCAGCCGGCATCGAGCATGAGCACCTTGGTGCCGCAGATGGTGGCGTCGCAAACGGCACCGGGCTTGGGTACCCTGGTACCACAGCTACTGACGGTGCAAACGGCACCGGGCCTGGGCACCCCGGCACCATAGTTGACTGCTTCACACTCGGCGGAGTTCGTCGCACCGGGTCTGGGTCCCCCAGTGCCGCAGACGGCACGTCCTCGCCGCGCCCATGCGGGCAAACCGGAGTCGATGGCCAAGTTTGCACCGCACTCCTCGTCGGCTCCCCCTTGGCCAGAATCTGATTATTCTTCGGACGCGGTGTCGGTTCGGTCGGGGTCTTCGGGAGCATCCTCGACCCACAGGTCCAGATCCAGACACCGGAGGGGCCACAACCAGCAGATGTGGCCCCCTCATCCGCAGTGGCCCTTTTGGACTCCCTGGGCCTATCATCAGTGGCAGGGCCAACAGCCACCATCTATGGGGTCGGAGGCTTCAGGGCACCGTTCCCGCCCCTCTGCGTCCCTGTCTAGGGCGCCTCCCTCCCCCCCCCGCGCCT